TATTTTTTTAAATGGCACTTCATATCAAAAAGGTTGCCGACCCCTGATTTAGAGTATCCCTAAATATTTTGTAACTCTCATTTCAGTGACTGCTCCCTAAACTCTCTGAACTGCTCCGACATCAGCGGCTGCCACACGGGAAGAACCATCGCTCACACGCCTCCCAACCAGGACGGCCGGGCCACACCGTCCCCAGAGCACGTGTCGACAGCCGATGGCGATGAAATGCACAACTACCATGACAACCATTCTGTTCCCGGAGGGATGCGCGGTGGCTTCACTCGCACATTCACGAACAGCAACGCCAGCCCCACGACCACAAACAACGCTAAAAACACAAAAGACATGGAGCAGACAGACGAGAACTTTAATTCTTTCAACTATTGGAGATCTCCTTTACCAGACATCAGCGAGGAGCTGGAGATGCTAACAAGTCCAAAATCAGAGGTAGGAAAAGAGAAGGACGAGGAGGTAGATGAACCGGATTGTCCTGATTCCAAGTCGAGTCCTGGCAAAACTACCAGCGACCAGATCCAGAAGGTCTTGGATTGTTTGCAACCGCACATTGATGACCCCGATGTACAAGGTGGGTGAACGGAGGCAGAATGAATTTGATGACCTGTATAGTAAGACTTGTCTTGGCGTGTAGATTGACTTGTTAATGTGAATTTACCTCCAGCCCAAGTCCAGGTTCTGTCAGCAGCTCTGAAGGCCGCCCAGCTCGACGACCCCGAAGACGAAGACCTCACTGAACCCGAGCAGGAAGAGCAGCCCGAGGAAAACACAGAGAGCCTGTCGGCGGAGACCAAATGTGTGGAGGTCCAGTCTGAGAGTGAAGAGTGTCCCACAGAAAAGGAGCCGATGACGGAAGCTCCTGCAGCCGAGCCCGAGTCGAGCCCTGTCCAGGAGCAAGGGGACGAAGAGACGCAGACGGAGCCCCTGGAGGACCAGGAAGAGTCTCCTCGTGACTCCCCTATTCTAGTACGAGACTATCACATCTTTACGGTTTAAGTCAGCTGTGTAACAACAACATATAGTGGACTGTTGATGGAATCATAATTGAAGCAAGGGTTTATCATTTCAGTCCATCAACAATAATGCATTGCATCTGCTCTGCCTGAATGTGTAGTGCTCTTGCTTTTCCCTAATGTGTGTTTTTGTTTACATTTTCCTCAGGAGTCTGAACTAATTGAGAGTGTAGAGGAGGAGGGAAAGGACGACTCTGCTCACAGCCCATTGTATGAGGAGAAGCCCAAGATCCAGGTCAGTCAGCACTTCTTTCACAACAGAGAACTTGCACAGACATGGATTATTTAATGCCTTCTCAATTCCTGTTATATCATCACACTCTTTATGTATTCCCCATCTCCAGAATGTGATCCCCCAGCAGCTGTTGGACCAGTACCTCTCCATGACGGACCCGGCCCGGGCCCAGACGGTGGATACGGAGATCGCTAAACACTGTGCCTTCAGCCTGCCGGGGGTGGCGCTCACTTTAGGGCGACAGAACTGGCACTGCCTCAAGGACACGTACGAAACCCTCGCTACTGATGTGCAGGTAGGCAGAGAAAGGGGGAATTCTGAGGGTAGATTTGTGTTTGTGATTAACACTTTGAAAACATGTTCAACTTGTCTAGGTGCTGGGGCTTAAAGACATTCTATCTTCTTGGATTTTATTGTTTTAGTTTCCAGTAAAATACATTTTGCCCTAAGAATCTGTCACAAAGTTGTTCTTTGTGATTGCTTAATTGAATAACTTATTTGCACAACTGTCAAAATGAAAAAACTTAAGGTAACAAATATTCTTTTAATTGAACTTTTAAATTGACACCAATGATTGGATAAGATCAATTGAATCAGGCAAGCATATACATCTATTTGCTTGCCATTTGTCTGCCTTGATTCGTGTGGAGGAGCGTTTGTGGACATATGATGCTTGCCTTGTGAGGCAATGAATCTCTTAGTAAGTGGGTTCATTCAAAAACAAACTGAAGCTGGTTATTTTGCGTCGGACTCTTTGGATGGCTATGCTGAAGTCACTGAATCAATGTTTCTCCAGCTTCATTATATCAGATATAGCACTGACAGACAGCAGGGTTCCCCACACATAGACTTTAATTGGGCGGGCCGCCCAGGTATATTAACGTCCGCCAAAGTATATTGAGGTTTAATCTTTTTTTATCCGTCCGCGAGCACGACGCCATCTGCAATCGATTAACTACCCCTCCTGTACCTGTTCGCTCTGCTATCGTGTGAAGGGTCTGCTTTATGCGCTCTGCAGTAACTCCGCTGCGAGGGTCAGAACAGTTCACCCCCCCTCCCTTTCAGATCTGTGGGAAACACTGTACACTATACTGTGGAGCGGCTTTTTTAAAGTAGTGCAGTGAGGGAAGGACCCTTTTTTTAAGGTTCTAACCGAATTTCTCTCAATCATGTTAACAGGAATCCCAACAATGTGCATGATTTTGTCATTTGTTATTTGATTTGAGAAACATTGCACTTGTTCCACAAATGCATCGCTTGACAACGTGAGCAAGAAAGGGAACTGCGAGGGGAAGCGTTGCCTCACTTCGAGGCGGCAGCAGTACAGACAGTGTGACAGCACTGCGTCACTCATTACCTAATATCAGCACTAAATGTGACTGTTGGCATGACAACGTTACACCGAACAATCGTCTATTCATTGCTGTCACTCGAGTGGCATTTTTATCTTAGAATCATCTTGCATCCTTAGTAAATATAAACCAATATGCAGTTATTTTTCTATTTCCTCCCAAAAACAACCTTTAAAAATAAAAACGTGCTTGTTCAGGGCTGGTGTTTTAATCTTTGTTTCTTTCCCCCCCTCCCCCCACCCTCAGTGGAAGGTGCGGCGTACTCTGGCGTTCTCCATCCACGAGCTGGCAGTGATCCTGGGAGACCAGCTGACAGCCGCCGATCTGGTGCCCATCTTCAACGGGTTCCTCAAAGACCTGGACGAGGTCCGCATTGGCGTGCTCAAACACCTCTACGACTTCCTCAAGGTGAGATTACACATTTACACACACTGATTCAAGTGTGAGGACACTATTTGCCAGAAGGATGAGTTGGTTTGGTCTTGGTTACTGTTTAAATATAACCGGGCAAGAGGCTTGTAAGTGTCCGTTACGGAAATTACATTTCAACAATGTAAAAAGTTAAATTACGGAGCACATTATTAGCCAAATGTTTACAGCACATCAAATGTAACTGCAACATCCGTTCTGGGCTCAATTCTGGCCTTGTGAGCTTTTTTGCATGTCCCACTGCTCTCGACCCCCTCTCATGACTAAACTGTCAAACAGATTAGGACATACATTTTAAATGTTAAATTCAAATAACTGTTAAGATTTGAGTGCACTTGTTTCAGGCTTTTTGGTTTTTCAAAGTAAGATAGGTTTGCTTAACAGGTAGCACTACCAGACTTCTAAGCTTGATAATGTTGTTGTTGCAGCTGCTGCACGCGGACAAGAGGAGAGAATACCTGTACCAGCTGCAGGAGTTCATGGTGACGGACAACAGTCGCAACTGGAGATTCAGATACGAGCTGGCAGAGTACGTCCCCTCTTTCTCTTCCTGTCGGGAATAATGACTTGTGTATTTGAACAAACCTCCTTCCTATCTGAGCCTTGATCATGTACCCTACATTTGACTATCATAACACTAATTATGTGTTAGATTTAATGCTCCAGATAATTCTCTGTCAATATGACCGCCTTATTTGATATTATAATATAATATTCAAATTGCAGTTAATTGACTGAAGTGCTCTCTCTCCTGTTGTCCCTCTCCAGGCAGTTGATCTTGATCATAGAGTTGTACAGCCACTACGACGTGTATGACTACCTCAGACAGATAGCGCTCACACTCTGCTCCGACAAAGTCTCAGAGGTCAGGTGGATCTCATACAAACTGGTAAGTGTGCAATATTGAATTAGGCTCTATTTCGCTGGTGTGACGGATGGTTAGGTCAGAAGACAGGAAATGAGTCACAATGATAGATGATGTTGAAGACAGGATGTGGGTATGTGATAATGTAATGCGCTGATAGATGTTTGATCATCTTAAGTTTGTTGCGATGACACTGAAGATGCGACACCTGCTATGGCCTTATTTGATAAAGCTTCATATTATATTTAAGCCTACTCGTTTAAAAAAGACGACAAGACATTTTTTTTAAATGTTAAAATGTTGTCTGGCAGTCTGAGGTGTTCATGCTTTGCAGCAATCATTAACTCATATGCAGACAGTCAGACAACTCTCAATCTCATGTTTGTTTGCTCTTCTGTTCTGCTATTGGTCCAATTATCGATCGATATTGAAAATATAGTATTCACAGATGAGCCTTTCTTTGACCAATGAACTGCTTTTGTATCCCCTGTTTTGATGTGTTTCATCACCTCTTGTGTTCTCAGGTTGTAGAGATCCTCCAGAAGCTGTATGCATGTGGGGCCGATGATCTGGGCCTGAACTTCATCAACGAACTCACCGTCAGGTTCTGCCACTGTCCCAAGTGGGTCGGGCGGCAAGCCTTTGCCTTCATCTGCCAGGTATGAAGCTCTTATCTCGCATTGCTTCTTCTTCATAGTGTCATTACCTGTTTTTCAACTCCATAAATAGCTGTCTGGGTCGGACTGCTTATCTGATGGTCATCCGAGCTACAGAATGAAATGGCAAAATGTTCACCCCGTTTATTGTCTCCAACATTCTAATCATAATTTTCTTCACTAAAAACGTATTTTAAAATGCATGAGTTATGCGTATAAAAATGTCATAAGTAAATTGAATGTATCAAAACACGACACCGGCTGTTTTATTTGAATGTATTGTTTACGTTAGAAAAGCTAATGAAAGATGAGAACTCTAGCTATGCATTACAGTAATGATATAGTGGGAAACGTGTCGTTCATGAAGCTGTTCATCAGCGTGTCTCTGTCACAGGAGCAGACTGATCAAAAGGGTTTTCACCAAACGCCTCTCCACTCCCTTCCTGTGTTTCGCTCGCCTCCTTTAACTGCAGCCTGTCTGTGTGACTGGTTTTTAATGTGAGCTCCTTTTTCTGCAGGCCATAGTGGAGGAGGACTGCATGCCCATGGAGCAGTTTGGCCAGCACCTGCTGCCCAGCCTGCTCAGCCTCTCCTCTGACCCGGTGGCCAATGTCCGCGTCCTGGTAGCCAAGGCTCTACGACAGAGCGTCATGGAGAAAGGTCAAGTGCAAATAAATGGAATAATTCATCTTTTCAGGATAAGGAGTCAACAATTCAGTTCAGACCAAAAGGGACAATACGTTACTGTGTTTCAATATTTTTCCATCAACTGACTCTTAACTAACACTTCTTTCTGTTGACACATCCCATAGCCTTTTTCTTAAAGGTCCCCTATTATACAGTTTTTCATCAATATATTATAGGTCTCAGATAAATACAAAACATGTCTCTGAAGTGTTTGGCTCCAAATACCAAACAGATCATTGCAGCATCCCACAATCCCCTCTGTTCTAGCCCTGTTTCAAAAGTGCTGATTCTCTGATCTTTTATGAAAAATAAGGAGCCACTCCCCACTCCTCTGAGAGATATTTGGTTAAAAAGAACACAATGGTGCTCGAGGAGGAGATTCAGGTGATAAGGTGGGGGGGGGGGAGAGTTACCTTAGTTGGCTATTGGTTACACAATACAAAAAAATCGTTATGACATCATAAAGTGGCCAAAATCTGAGCAGCTCATTTTCAGACCGGTTTTTATATAAATGGACAAAATAAGAGAGAGACTCTTTTTTTCCTGAAACTTTCAGAAGCTCTTTACACAGAGGGGACACATGTTTATGTATAAAATGACATTAAAAAGTGGATTTAGCATTTACCTTTTAAGCTAACTGAGTCTTGTGTTTTGTGTGCAGCTTACTTCAAGGAGCCGGGCTGTGCCTTCTCTGATGAGCTGGAGGAGACGGTGATGGCTCTGCAGTCGGACAAGGACCGGGACGTGCGCTTCTTCGCCAGCCTGGACCCGAACAAAGGCCTGATGGAGACGGCTCCCCTGATTTAGCCTCAGCCTCCGAGTCCCATCGCAGCCCACCTGCCTGTCTACCTACCTGTCTGTCTGACTGATGCACAGTCGGCATAAAACCTGCAACACCAGCACCTGACCAGATCCCCAACCTCTCGCCTGCTGGGTAGACCTGCACCAACACCAGCTGGGAGTCATGTCAGAGGATCAGAGAACAGAACAACCCAGCCCAGGCCCTGGTTGGGCACTACATAGCGCACATTGCATTCACAACACAAATGCATACTTCTCAGAGTTTTCAGAAAATGAGCAGGACTCAGAGGTTAGCTCCCTTCGTGCGAGCCGCCGTATTCACACATGAACTTTACCCCCACCCTCTTCCACACTAACAGCAACTCAATCCTTCCCCCAATCACAGACTTGTAAAACTACGACGGGCTCTTTCTCTCCAAAGCTAATTGTAAGCTTGATATAAAATTGCTGAATTGATTTTTTTTTTTTTCTTAATGCTTCATTTTGTGGATTTCTTAACGAACAAGCGGGCGAAGCCTGCCTGACTTTGAAGTGTGCACTAACTCAGGGGGACTCATCTGAACCTAAACAGCATTATTAGCTACGTGATAAGCAGCAGGATCCCTGGTGAAAAACAAGACAGCTCCAGCTCTCTGAGCAAGAGACCAGCCAAACCAAGTAGCTCTGCTGGTGTCTCGCGCCTCATTTCCTCTTAAAGATCTCCTCTCTCAGGCGTCCCTTGTCTCCTGAGATGTCCTCTGGGTTATCGTCTGTTCCCCTCCTACTGTCTCTACCCTCTGGTCTTCAGGGGCCACTGAACCACTACTGCACAGAAGGAGCGGGGATTCTGTCACTCAGCGTAACTCTCCATTAAAACCATATCATGACGTTTTTTGAAAGTTAACAAACTGTTGATGGCTTTCCCCCTCCCCCCCTCCTCGTGTCTGTTTACCAAAAATGTGACACAACGCGTCTCCCAAACGGCAGGGGACCAATAGAAATACCTCTGTGTGGACACGGCTGGCCAGTGTGGCGTACATGTAGAGGGACATCACACGGGCTCTGAATGTCCTCGTCTGAAACATCTTACCAAGGGCTCACGACGGAGTGACTCAAATCTCAGAAAGAAGAGGAAGAAAGCAAGCACACTGTTGGATTATGCATGTTTCCCCCTCCCCTCAGCAGCCCCCCTCCACCTTCCTCTTGTGTATAGTCTCTTCCAGTTCCTTAAGGTTGACCTCCTGATGTTGAATTTTGTGACCATGGTAGCTTTCAGTGGATCTGACTGACCAGTTGTACAGTAGGATATAGGAATGGCTGTGTGACCAGACTGACTCATCATCTTTTCCCCGTTTTTCTTGGTGAAATGATTTTAAGTACATGGTCTCTTGACATTTTGCAACTTTTTTGTACAGCTTAAACCTGTGGAGAAAACGGTTTGCGTGTATGGAACCAAGGCCAGTTTAGTCGAGATGTGTGTGAATATTGGGAGCAGTCACCAAGTCACTTTTTGTAGTCTCTCGGGCTCGTTTGTTCTCCTGTTGTAAATGGTAACCCTTGTTTTGTTTTTTTGAACATAGACATAACTTGAGAACTTAAAGCTGATTGTGGTGTGTGCTGTGCATCTCAAGTCTTTCTTCCTTCGAACGGAGAGCTCACCGCGGTAATGGCGGTGTCTACTCATCTCGTCTGTCTGCGATTTGTGTCCATCTCATTTTTTATGTAGTAGAACAGTTAATATATACATTTTATGAAAATTATTTTTCTTTTCAATTATGCACCACTGTTCAAAGATTTTATATCCTAACTTTACAAAATTTACAACCTTTGTAATATTCAATGGTTTCTTTTAAAAAGACATTTTATGTAATGTTATTTTTAGTATTCTGTAATTAAAATGATGAAAATGAATGTCTGTGATTTATGTTTTGTAGTTCCTGCTTTATTACTTGTGCCACAGAGTTTCATGTATTTGGTTTGTGTTTCAGCAGCTTTACAGAAAACCTACTGGCCTGATTTTCATGAGACTCTGAAAGGAACCAAGGAAAACCTCATTTAGCTTTGGAGCGGATCCAGAGCACGTGGTGGATACACTAACTATTTCTCTAACATTGCAGGGCGGTCCGTGCTCTGAGTGCACCAACCTGCTCGGTCAGATGATCCAGAAATATGTAGCTGCTTTTTTAATTGAATGTTTACAGTTATATTTGCATACCTACTCAAGTAGACAGTTGTATAACTAGTTGATCCGGAACATATCTCAGTTAAATTAATTCCTATATCAAAATTGAGGCAGATGAAATAAAAACACATAATTAGAAATTAACCACAAAACATTATGTATTTTGAGGTTTTAACCACAAATATCCCAGATTTCTTTATCTCTCCAGCTGGAATGATAATACAAAAATGTAAATGTTTAAGATTAAATGTATTTGTACCCATACATTCTATGTATTCTCTTATCCCAGCTTATTCAGTTTGAGGATTTGCTGTTATATATATCTTAAGGATTTGGCCGGATCAAACAAAGTATTTAAACATGTTAAAACATCGTTTACAGTTTTTTGATGTTTCTATAGACCAAATATGAAAAGAGTCATCTGAAGATAAACCAAAAATGTAAATAGATTGCAGCCTCATTTTTTTAATAGTTCAGTAGACAAATATATGAAGAATGTCACTCAGCAGTTGCCAGAGCAGAGTTGCATTTTCAATTAGCTTGTTTATCCCAACCAAGGGAACAAAAATACTCAGTTTACCGTCATTGAGGACAAACAAACGGTGATCGTCAAATCGTCCAGAAATGGTTAGGCATTTCTTAAAGTGATTTAAACAATAAACCTTTATAATCATTGCAGATTAACAATTGAACTTTAATCCTTCCCATTCCATGAAATGTTAGTTTTTGGTCTTCCTGATCATATACCTGCAGCCCTTTTGAAGAGCAGCAGCTTTCTGTCCCAGGTGGTGCTGCCGAAGCTCTGGATGAGCTCCATGCCACAGTGTCTCTCCAGATGCTCCCTGGCCTGTTCTGCTACGTCCCCGCGGATCTTCAGACTCTTGAAGTGGTCAAAGTCTGAGCGGCCCAGCTTCCTCAGCCTCCGTGCTGCAGAGCGGTAGCACTTCCAGGGCTGAGCCTCCAGCAGGAGGTGCTGGCTGATGGAGGCCAGGTGGGAGAGCAGCTGCAGCAGGCCGGCGTCTCCGTGGTTCAGGTGCACCCACATGGTGACGGCCAGGCACAGACACAGGTGGAAGTGGGAGCCGCCGTGCTGGTTGAGGTAATCCTGCAGCTGGTCAGCGTCTTTGGTGATGTCCAGAGGGATGAAGGAGATGCTGCTGGGCAGAGGGTTGCTCTGCTGAGCCCGCTGGATGAGAGTCTCATCCAAGTCGAAGCCCAGGAGATTAACTTTCCTCCTGTCTGACTCTTGTTCAGACACAGGCACCAGATGTTTGTAGAAGGCCACACTCAGATCCTGTCATTCACAGGGGAAGAAAAAGGAGAAACAAATAATGTAAAATGTGGATTCAACTTAATTTCAAATTATATTCAGAGTATCAACATAATTCCCAAAGATGCGATGATGCTGTTCTGGATTACCATATACATCAGGGCACTTGGTACAAAAACATAACATTACTTTGAACTTTTACTCAAGTAACAGAAGCAACAATACACTGTCGTGCATTTAAAATCTTATCTTACTGTCCAAAAAAGAACATGAGTATTAGCGTTGAAATACAACTAAGTACCATATACGTTATAAGGAATGGCTGATTTAAAAATAATAGAGCTGATATATGTGGGGTTTATATCAATATATTTATACAATGTTGGGAGATTCATCCATAAAAATACAATATGACTTATCATATTCTATTTTGAATAAAAACATCTGAATCTGTAAAGTGAATTAATGTTGCCAAAAAAAATTGTGAAGTAAAAAGTAGAATATTTTCATGTGAGATGTAGAAGAATACAAGTATAAATAGCATAAATTGGTACAATTACAAGTAAGTACCTCAACACTTACCTTTTATAGGGACAGTTTGTGTATTAAAATGAGTTTTCAGTATAGGATCAATCTACCTTCACATTTATTTAAAAAAAGACATGAAATACTGTGACTTTTGATTGAATACTATATTATGATTTATTTTATTATTTCTTAAATGCCTATTATACTATGACTTTTTTTTGGAGAGACAAAAAGACTATGACAGACATTTTTAAGGACATACTATACCATAATTGTTTTTATGGAAACGTAATGAATGCTGTACTTTGAATTTTAATATGTTTCACATAGTTTATGTTATAGCCTACTGTGAATTATTGTAATGGCATATACATGTATGAATTGTAAAGTTGAACATGTGTAGAATCCCAATCTACTTGAAGAATTACATAATATAAAGAATATTCCAGACGGTTAAAACACAGATGTGAAGAGTCTCATACCCCAGAGTTACAGCCCACGTCCAGGATCAGTGTGTTCTGAAGGCCGTCTTTGAGGCCTAAATCCTGCAGTAAAGTGGCGGGAATCAGGCTCAGACGGTTCTCCGGAGGATTGAATGTGTAATAGTTGATAAAGTTGCCATAAGGAGCGGCTCCTGGGTCATTCATTTCTTCAACTTCAGCTATATCTACCGACCATGTTGCCATCGTAAAGAGTGCGCCTTCAAAATACGTCCGGGTAGAATACATGAGGCTGCAGTCATATAAAAACGTTCCTGCTTAGTTTATGAAAGCACCAAAACACCAATATAATACCTCATGGATGCATTTCAATTTCCATGGTGTGGATACATATCAATAAAAAGAGAGAGCTGTGTCAGATATTTGAAAGTCTTTAATACGTTTAATGATTTTGTATTACAGATACTTATTGTATAATACAGATTATACTTATTGTATGATGCGTATTACTACATCTTAAAGTGATGACTAATGAAAAGAGGTGTTTTAAAGAGTAGTAATACAAAGCTTCATTGATTTGAAGTCACATGGGACCATTGGAAATATGTAAGACTTAATAAAGAAAACAACTCCTGCCTTTTCTCAACACTGTATATAATTAAAAACTAAAATCTGTGTCCTACTTGTCCAGTGTTCTTACCTATGGTTCTTCTTGGTCCAGTGTAGTAAAAACAATGCTACATTATATTACATGCATGATATGGAAGCTATTGAAAGATATTGAAATTAAATGAGACTTTTCCATAAGGAAACTTCTGCAAATGGCAAAAACACAATAAAAGTGTTGAATTTATTTATACATAATATATAATGATGTTGTGTAAAGCATTGTAAACGCATTTTCATTATATATTTCCAAAGTATTTGATAACATTGTGTCTGCTCCAGGTCAGCAGGGGGCGCTCTGTAGTTTTGCTCACAGATTTGCCTGAAGAAGAGAAAAGTCCCCTCAGTTTTTCCGTATCTTACGAAAGCGAAGGTTAGTTAGCTTGGGTGCTAACTTCACATGTCTGTGTGCTGACATTAAGGACAACTGCTTCTTCACTACCTGCGATTTTTATCGCTTTCAATATAAAAAGGTAAAATAACATTTAATTAAGTTCTTGCTCTTAGTTCTACGTGTTTTTAAGATGATCAAATAGTAAGCTAACTTGTAAAGCAACACAGCTAAACGACCGCTCGCTAGCCTCTAGCGACCAAGGGGAAATGTATGATTCTAGCAAAAAAAAAGAGTGTTATATGGTTTAAAGCATATTTAACATAATGGACTGTTAAAAAAACTCCGAATAGTTTAATTTGCTTCACATGATCAACAACTGCTACAGATAGCTTGGTGTGAGCGAGCAGTCTCAATGATATCAGCCTAAATAATCAGCAGTGAGTTTTATTTAAGGTTATAAGAACAAACTCAAAATTACCTTCAAATCTGAGCAAGTTGTGTTTGGCTCAAACATGGCTGTTTTTTTCTCAAATTAAAATCAGTTAACAATACAATGATACAAGCTTTTGTTAGTTGTATTTATAAACTGATATATACATCTATCAATCAGTACCTACAACTGTCATAAATGTAGTAAGTAGAGGAGAATTCCCATCTGATATGCTTGGGGTGTAGTAAAAGTATCTTTTGAACATTATCTATAAAAAGGCGGTGTATTGTGCCCCAAGAAAAGTAAACTTAAAAAAAGGACCTAAAACAGTCATAGTATGTCACAAAAAAAGGTCTGGATATCGCCATTATATCATATTCATGGATTATTTTGTCTATAACAATCCTGTAGAAACAATAAACACCATGACAGCCCTAATGCCCACCCCTGTACTACCTGAGTAAAGTCATTTTCTATCTCTACTTTCTGTACAGTATTTTGATGCTGAACTTGCTCTGACTTTGTGTCCTTCAGGATCCTCAACATGGTGTCTGGGAAGCGCATCGCCGATTTCGGCTACAGGACGTTTACTGCCTCGATGATGCTGCTGTCGGTGTACGGAGGCTACATGTGTGTGATGCGAGGGTACCGCTTTGTGCAGAAGCAAAAGCAGCTGAAACTGGCTGCAGAAAACCAGGAGGAACTCCTCAATGAGTGACATGATTGATGTTTTTGCACATGTGGACATTTCCAATTCCTCCCTTTTCTTTTGGTCCGTCGCTAAATCATGAAGATGTTCATTCTTCTCAGGACATTAAAGTGATTTTTTTGTGTGGGTATTGTGCCCTCTCAAGCAAGATGTTGTTTATAAAAATGTCATCAAGCAAAATCAACCAAGAATATATTGCTTCAAAGGCTTCTGTAAAATCCATGTTGTGAGTGTATCAGAAAAGAGGATGGCTACAATTCTTTGATTTGTAATATATTAAATGCTTTAACCACACAAAGCAATGTTGTATTCACAAACATGACACCATCATGAAAGACATCTTTCAACAAGAGCATATATTTGGAAATATTTTTACAAGGCACTCAAGTGAGAATGTGATACGAGACATTTAGTAAAGTCCTCATACCTGGATTCCTATAAAGGCAGTGGCAAACAATTTCATACACATTTGGTCTCAGAAGAAGTAGTACAAAACAAAGTAGCTTAACAACATTGTTAAAGGAAAAATCTACAATGAATCGCAGTAGGCAAACTCTTCTCTCGCAAACGCCTCAAGTGTTTACTTCTGTTCATACAAACAGCAGGTGCATATTTTAAAAGCTGATAAAACCACAGCTATAATAAGTTACTTATACCATATTCCAGTTAATTATACATAAAATACCTGCTGTTACATCACAGATTGAAAATACAACACAATTAGTGTTTTCTGCCCTTTGTGATCCAGTGTGATTTAACCCTTAACTGAAAAATAATCAAGTTCATCTGACCAATAAAACTGGGAGAGAACATTAAAACCAACAATCAACATCTGCAGCCAAACTCGGCACAAAACCAATCCCATCGTTTGAAAAATAAGGCTATACAAAACACTTGCTTCAACAGATCTCCATAACGTTTCCACTTTTACATGTCACCTCTGAGAGGTGTCATACATGTCATTACGAGGCTCTTAGCAGATATCAGTGTATCCATCCTCAGTGTGTGTGTGTGTGTGAATGTGTGTGTCGGTGTAAGCTTTGAACGTCAAAGACACACAAAGCACTTATTACATATTATGGGATGAACTGCAGGGGGCTCCCAGCCTCGTGTCACCAGCTGCTGTGGTTCTGCACTCTAGCTTTGGCAGCAGCACAGTGGCCGTTAGTGCCGTTTTCTCCCTTAGGAGAATGAGAGTAAGCCTTCGGACCGTCTGTGGGCGTGTCAGGCTCGTTCTCTGAGCTGCTCTCAATGTCACTGCGGACATCGTTGCACACCTAGGAAGCAGATGGAGCAGGAAACAGGATATTATTGTTTTGAGAGAAATAAGCTCAAACTACAGATGCTAATCAAATGAGCTCTAACACAGCTGTCCCACTTAAACTGAATCGCTTAACAAAAATTAACAGGAAAGATGGAGTCAAGCTGTGTGAAAGGTATTACAGCAGAGGGAGCCAAAATAAACTTACAGCGAGAAAAAGAGACGGTAAAAGGTCTCAAGCGGGGAAAGCAAACGAAGAAGAAGCGAGAGGAGTGGAGAAGGGCTCATTGGACAAAGAAAGACAGGATCTCCCTCTCTCTCAACCCAGAGGGAGAGGGAACAAACAGCGTCTGCAGAGAGAACGACAGTCAGGCACAGCTCAGAGAGAAGTGCAAACGCAGCAAATTCATCACCAAAAAGCCTAATGGGTTCAGGAAATTGATTGATTGATTTTGTGTTCTTTTTGCCCCTGAAAATCAATGTTTTATTTTCCAAAGGGTTGGGACATTTGTGTTCATCTTTGCTTAAAAGAACATATATTATTTTTATTCCTGAAATACATTTATAGCCATTCATTTAGGCCAAAGTTTGAGCTAGTCAAAACCTAATGAAATTACAGAAACTAAAAAGGTAACAGACAAGTAAGAAGATGTTTGTTTATTTGCAGGTTTTAGTAGCTGCAGGAAGGGTATTGATTTGTATGATGTCAAGTCCTTCAGCAGGTCCATACTTCAACATATTCCCTCAAATAATCTAGAAAATAATGAAGAAATATTGTTTATGTTTCGGAGAGACAAGGGGATATCTTGTAATGTATTGCTATGCAACTATATTACATAAGGCACAAAAATAAGCAAATCTTCAAATTGATAGGCTGGAAGTATTGAGTGTCAAAATAGTTGGGCATTACTTATTTTTCTACCGGATCAACGAATGGTTTAATTGTTTTACTTTTACATCATATTACATAACTCTCTGTAATGTGTGTGATGTGACCCACCTTGCCCCTCAGCACGGCTTTGACAGCTATACGGGCTATGAGGTAGGACCAGATGATGTGCAGCACTTGGAGGACGAGCAGTAAGAAGTTGAAGAGCCACCAGGAGGGGTACGGCCCCACTATGGCCCAGCTCTCGAACATAGTGGAGTTCAGGACCCTGGGGCAACAATGAGGCAAACAGATGCGTGATCAAGCTGCACGTTAACCATATTATTAACCAGCACTCCCCTAATGAGGCCCTTTATAACAGCACACAATGTAACTCCCTTTTGGATGCCATGGCGACCAAGCAGGCGAGTAACATGTCTCGAGTGTAGTGTTAGGTGATTGGATGGTGAGGTCACGTCTTCCTTTAAATCTGTGTGAGTGACAGGAGGTTGTCAACAGACCCACATCCCCCAGCAGAGGTTCGGATTTCAGTGCAGGTCGCTGCAGCTCTATACACTCATCACACCAAGACACTGAATATAGCTGCTCAGGTTACTGCCGTCAATGATAGGTTCCCTATTGTGTGTGTGTGTGTCTCTCTCTCTCTCTCTCTCTCTCTCTCTCTCTCTCTCTCTCTCTCTCTCTCTCTCTCTCTCTCTCTCTCTCTCTCTCTCTCTCTCTCGACGCCTAGCTTCAACATCCAGGCCTCCGTCTAACCACCTCCATTTAAAGGGATACTACTGTGAAGTGGGGTCGTTTTAGGTTCTAATGTATGGCCAGTAGATGGTGGTCAGCACGCCCTAAACTCAGAGACGGGACAGGAGTACCAGCACAGGAGCAAAGCAGTACATTGCTGTGGATGGGGCATACTTATTTTAGCCAACTCAAATAAACCACATCTAAAATAAAGTGTTTATCAAATTGAGAATATTTTCTCTGCTTTATCTTGCCATCAGACTCTGCTAACAAAAGCAGTAATTTTACCTCGGGGGTTGGTGCTCTACTTTGCTGCCTCAAAGTAAATTACTGCTCTTGTCAAAGCAGTATGGTGGTTTTGAGGAGAGCATAGCTAATGGTTCCACAAAAGGCTGCCTGATGGCAAGGTAAAGCACTTTGAATGGCTAAAATAGGTTTTGCTGTGCACAGCACTTTTTTTATTTACTTGCTTGCCGTTAGTTTCTTCAAACTGGGTGTGTGCCGACCGCCATCTGTGACTAAGAAAGAGTACCTCATACAACCGCAGTTCAAATTATCTTTTAATTATTTTAAGACCAACAATTAGGAGACATCTCTGCGGTGCTTTGAGCAATTAGTAAAATAATGATGAAACTGTTAATCGTCCTGGAAATGGCCTCATATGAAGGTGGTTGTTGTATAACTTATTCATAACATAGCAGAGTACAGGCCGTGTGCTACTGCTTACCACTGTTACTGAATACAAGATACTGTTTGTATCGAAATGTTTTTAATTTAAAAATCCAAGCACTGGATTACATTGTTTTCTCTTCAAGCCTTTGCTAACTATAATAAACCTAAACGACAGTGTTATGCACACAATTACCAAATGAATGTAAGCCACCTTTAAAGCTATAGCTTTATAATAATTTCCTGCTAAAATAAGATATTATGCATTAATCAAACTCATTATTATGGTAGAAGTAGTATTATTTACTGTGAGGTTGAAGGTGTTATTGAAACTCACCATATTGGATAAATAACTAGTCGTGTGATGAAGAATGCCACACTGAACACAATGAACAGGAAGTCACACAGGCGCTGGTACTTGGCATAGTTGGCCAGCTTGGCTAGCTGTAGAAAAACAAATGACAGAAGCAACAGTTAATGATATGTTTAATGAAGAGTTTTGTTTCATTACCACATATTCCTGGGTCCATACAACTAGTCTGTTTGGTTTGCAGCCAAGAGGAAGTGAACTAACAATAACTATTCATCTCCATCGTTTAGAAGCGGCTGTGACTCAGTGGATAGAGTGCAGGACTTCGAATCAGGGGGTAGCAAGTTCGAGTCCCACTGCAGTCAGCATGTCGTTGTGTCCCTGGGCAAGACACTTCACCCCAAATTGTTCCTGTGGGGTTTGCCCACAGTACTGAATGTATGTAGGTCGCTTTGGAAAAAAGCGTCTAACAAATGACATGTAATGTAAAAGAAAACTGACTTGAAACCAAAAGGCTACTGGACAATATACTAATAAGAAGTGTACATGTAGAAGTGTAGGCTTCACAATACCTGTATAAAAAGCAGTAACATGTTTCTATATCTTCCTCATCTTTCCTTTATATGTTGGTGTATCAGCATGTTGGCAATAACTTCTCTTCAATATCAGAAATGTACTGTAAACAGATCGCAAAACACAGTTTTCAAATAACATTATATTCTCAGTCAAAAAAGATGCAAATACAAAGTAAGTATAAGATATGAGAGGAGAGGATTATTCAGGTTAGTTGAAAAAAAAAATGAATTGGTGTTTAACTTGAATATAAGTGTGTGATCACCACCGTGTCTGACTGACCTCTAGCAGGAAGTCGGAGGCGTCGTGTACGCACATCACGAGACTCCCTACTCGCGTCATGTTGTTGACGTAAGAAAAGCTGATCAGACCAATCGTCGCCAGGTGATGGATGAACATTATCATGAAGTCCTGAAGTCAAAGGGAGAGAGGGATGGTTACATATGTGCACACCAAATGTTTACCTGTAAACATGTTAACTTGTTTTAAGTGTCTTTTTAACACAATTATCACTTTCTTGTTTCATTTGAATCATTGTTTGCCATAAAGTCATCGTATAATATGTAATAAAAAACTGCGATTAAAAAATAATAGTGTAGTACTCCATAAACTCTTAATATCACTGAAAAGTCACATTATGGTATGCCATAAAAGTCGTAGTCATAGTTTGTAATATGAATGCATACAAAAATCACAGGATATTAGGCTAAAAGCTAAATATCACAAAGAATTTGCCAAGCATTTAGACGGCTCGATATAATACATTTTTCAAATAAACAAACAAAAGCCTGATGCACGACCAAAGCAGGAGAAAGGGAGGATCACATTTTGTAGCAGCATGTTATGTGCTCATATGTTCTGAATGCAATCAACATGGTGTCTTTAGTCTTTTGCATGTGAATGGTCTGCAAAGACTAAAATACGCTGCCATTGGACTCTTTTGTTCACTTCCGTGACAGTGACATCACTACATAACACTCACAAGTCTATTGGCTAGCGCTCCAACACATTGTATGCTAAGGGTAAGGACATCTCAAAGCGATTTACCAATCAAAACAGAGCCGACCAGCTAACCAATCAGAGCAGACTGGGCTCTGGTTTCAGACAGAGGGTGAAAAGAGGTGCTGCAGCACAGGCAGTACGAGAAAAAAAGAGCTTTTTGAACATTAGAGCATGTAAACATGCCACAGTAGAGCACAAAATACAATTATGAACCTGAACATGAGTATCATAGTGCTCCTTTAAGAGGAAAAATAAGAGTAGAACAGGTAGTGCTGGATTCATAGAGCCAGAAGATATGACGGAAATATTAACGGAAAAACCTGAGACACATGCAGAGACTCGAGAGCATCGACAGGATTTCATGTGTTGGTATGCATGTTCTGAATTTCTTATTTGACCTTTCTATACTGTATCTTTCACTTTTTTGTTGTTTCACATTACCATTTGTATTTTAACCTCTATTACTATTTTAGTTTTATAAACATATTTATATATTCTTTTTTTTATCTTCGCCATTATGTTAATCCTTTAACATCCCTTCGGATATCAATAAAAGCTTATCTGATTGTATCTCTTAATTCAACCTACATCCATCAGTTTCAATGTTAATCTGTTGTGTACATTTCTGCACAAGATCAACAGACTCATTTTGTAGGATTTTAGATACTGAAGATTAAGCGAGAAATCATTTGAGAGTTTGCAAACACAGTGACATTTTTTTTATTAGAACCTGAAAAGTTTATTGAAGTTTATTGAAGTCCTCACTGTTTGCATGAATACCTGCTCTTTTGCTTTTCTTGGGCATATTTATTCACTACATTTGTGGTTTGGGGCAAACTGTAAAGTAATTACAATGCAACTGAGCTGAGGAAGAGCGTAACAGTGAGAATCGCCTGTGGGGATTTCCATTTAGCTTCATAAACACAACTCTATTTTAGCCCAGTTTTCCAGCTTCACATTCCTGATAGTTGCCGTCTGATATGTCTAAAACATTCAACAGCAAATGTCCGCAGCTACTAGCTCCACCTCTCATATGCTGGAATTTATGTAATTCTGACGGAGTTAGGCCTGCTCCATTCTGAAATCACATGACTGTGGGTGCCCTCGTGCTGAAAATACAAAGCATTCACAGACGGAGCAGTACCAGTCCCACCACGCCCCCCCCCTCTCTCAAAAAACTAAAACATGTGACCTTCAAAAATTACCCCAAATGTACGATCTTGAAACCAAGCAAATTTAGAATCACTTTTGATATTGATGCATTGTCACTTATGTGCATACAATTGAAACACTTTGCAACACACATATACATAAACACTCACAAATATATTTCTGTTACGGAACAATAAAGGTATTAATGAAAGTTTCACATTGAGCAGCAACTCTGTGGATCCAGTGTGTGCAATAGTCAGTGTGGTTTCACTCACCTTTCTTTTAATGTCAGTGAACTGGGAGAACATTAGGGACCAGTAGAAAGCCAGTTCTGTTACATAGTAGTAGTAAAGACCCGGAGTCATGATCTGAAGAGGAAGAAAGGTGAGACAAGTTCAAATAAGAGTTTTATTATTTGAAAGTATTTATTTTACACAGTGTTAAAAGGGAAAGAATGATGTATGGCCACCACTGTGCAACACATCCTGTCCCGGTGAGTCACCATGAAGTTACTATATCATAAAGCATGAGAAGATGCCGTCCAGTGAAATGTGTTATGTATGTGTCTTAATCTGGTTAATCTCATAACAAAAGGCAGATCTGCCATAATTATAGTTCATAATTTATGAACTACATTTGAATTGATAGCTTTGATATGTAAAATCTGAATGTGAATCTGCAGCGTGAGTTTTTATATGATTGAAATGTTACCAGTGGTCTGTGAATGAGATCTGCAAAAGAAAGTTAGCCAACATTATAAACCCAACAAAGAAACTGCATGATATCAAGACAGGATCAAATAAGATGAGATAAGATGGTTCTTTATTGATCCCTGTAGGGGAATGCAGGTGCTACAGCAGCAACAGAATAAGAAAGAACACAGATAGTACATATATTAACTGCTTTTTATAACATACTATAATTTATACAGGGAATAGGAGAAAGACTGTGAAGTTAAAGTAGATACTGAAAAGTTTCTAAAGTCAGATTCTCTGCCATTTACTCAACGTTTAAGTGACAGAGGTAATAATTATGGAAGCCTATTTACGCCATTAAAAGAAAAATTAAGATGAAAACTAAGATCTGTTATTAAAAAATGTTTAAGTCTTTTTTTTATTATAGTTTTGTATTTCAGAAGAATACTCAAAATACTATGTCATTATATTGAGATATTACATGTGTTGTTTTGAGGAAGTTCTTTTTAAATCATGGTCTTTCCTTAAAAAAACACAATTCATTTTCTGGCTTTTCTTGGTCAACTGAGCACACGAAATACCATTAGACGCGTTCACACCGGAGTTCTTTTCCCCGTACTTTCCCCGTTTAGTTCCGTTAGTACCTCTTATTTTGCGTTCACACCAAAAAGAGTACTTAGTGCCGGGAACTTTTACCCCCATTTTAAGTGCCTGCTAGAGAGGTGGTACTATCCTGGGGAGAAAAAAGTACCAATTTCTATTGGCTGGGCGAATTGCAAACCACGCCCCGTTAAAACTCTGAAAAGTTTTGTGAAGTTTTTGTATTTGCTAGCATTAGCATTAGTTTTTGTATTTGCTAGCATTAGCATTATTAGCATTAGCATTAGCCCCGCGCACCAACGGAGAGAGACTAACTTATGACAACAACAAAAAAACATGGGAGCGGTGGAGATGAGGAGGTGTCGGCGTTCTGGCGATTTACTCGGAAGGCTTCCGTAGAAGCTGCTGGGAGTCCCAGCAGCTTCTACTGAAGCCAGTCCCCAACTCCGGGGACTTCCGGCCGGGGACTTCGGGTGGCAGTATACGCCGTGAAGTAGTTTGCGGCCTGCCAGTAAACCCAAAGCAGAAGAAGAAGAAGTGAGGTCAGCGGCTCCATTTGCGCAATCTTCCCTCAGGGAACTTATTCTGGTGTGAACGCGATCTGTACTTAGTGCCATGGGGGTACTAAGTTCTGGCACTAAGTACAGCAAAGTATTTGGTGTGAAAGCGGCTATACAATCCAAACAGTTCAGTTGTTTACTTTGTTCAACGGTAAGCTGATTAGATAAACAAAGACTGGAAGTGCATCNATACATGAGAGTAGACAAACATAGATAATCAAAACACATATAACCACACTTAGATAGCATTTAGAAGGTGAGCGTTTTATGTTTTTTACCTGCGGCGAAACAACAAAACATCGCAATAGCAAGGCACTCTTTGATTTTGTTACCCTTGTAGTACAACCACCCTTGCATTAGATTTATCTAAATTAACGTAAAGCACTGATATTTGTGCGGTCATATATTTATTTCGACATAACCATATTAGTTGTGGGTCAAATAGATATATATATATATATAGGGTTTACCTTAAGACAAAAACATTCAAGATGTCTTAACACAAGACACTCTTTGCCTTTTGTTACCCTCGTAGCACACCACTTGTGAATAGTTATCTAATTAACATAAGCACACTGACTATATTGTAACCGTCATATATTTTATTTCGACATACACATATAGTTGGGGTCATATATATATAATAATGACAATAAAGTTGTGTGCCGGTTACCTACGGCCACGCAACTACCATCAAGAATGTAGTAACTGGACTAATCGTCAAAAATATTATTTCAAGAACATACAACATACAGCATATAACACCAGCGGTAAACTGTAATAAGGTGGGTTTGCCTAGATACCCGAACCCCATAACAAGACGTGCCTCCTTTAAACTCACTCGGCCTGAGGACAAAAGGCGGCCAGAAGCGAAGGGCTCGAACTATTCACGAATGGACTACCAAAACGTCTACGGAAATTAATTTTCAGATCGAACCATCGGAAGCTGATGGGGCGGAGGGCTTGAGGGCAGAGAGCCCGTCGATGTAAACCACTGGGGCCTGTATTCAGCCAACAACGCGCGTGAGGCTCTGACTTGGCTCGGTTACCGTGTCATTGGCGGCAAAAAAACAAATTTCTGACGGGCCTCAAAACCCTCTGTGAACGCCGACGTACCAAGCGAAGTCCGCCTCCGAGTCAAGCCGGAAGGTGCCTCACTGAACTCGATGACTCGCCGCATAAAAGTGCAGCACAAGCCCGCGACCCCCTCGAGGTGACCGCTGGGGCTGCCACCCGAAATAATGTAGAGGACGGTCCCCTAATTTTATACGGTTCGCAAGAGAAGTTCCGAAAGGACGATTTCTGAAAGCTCGACAGTGGCCAAGCCTTTGCCCCGGCTGCGACACCGCGACGGAGTCGATAAGTATCCGGACCCCCCTGTTGTTCCGAGAAGACTGGTGGCATACCTCTACTACGAAGTCGGACGGACCCCATGCCTTCGTTGGTTGTAAAAACAAGTATAATTGACAAAAAGAAGCTGTGTACGGCGCGCGCCGCTCCACATGTCTGTTCCCGAGAAAACGATTGTTCCGATAATGACTTCGGGCGTGAACCGCTTCTTCCGGCGCCTGCAGAAGGACCGTTGTGTCGCAAATGGAGGCCTGCCACGACCGCGGGGCTGGTGCGTCGCCCGTTGGAGAAGGGACCCATGTCCGTACGTAGGATCGTCTTCGGAGGCCCCGGCTGCACTCGTTTAGGCTGAAGTTCATAATCAGGGTCTGATTGTGGCCGAAGTACATCCTCATCTTCTGACGGAGAGTCAGCGCTGTGCGGTGGAGATGCAGATGTGCTCTGCTCTGCTGGCTATGGAAAAGGTGTCGCTGCTGGCATTATTCATACTACGCAGGATCCTATCTCTTGAACCCATTGGTCTATTTTGGGGGTTGACACATTTTTTGAAACTTTAGAGCCAATAGAATCGAGGAGGAGTTATGGCACATTTCCACTGCAGCGGGGTAGCCCCGTTTAACCGTCCCTAAGCGTCCTCGCTCAGGCCTCGGGCTGCCTCGCTGGCCGTCCGAGGCCGTGGCGCATTTCCATTACAGTTTAGGACCTGGGGCAGCAACGCAGTGTAGGCGGGGCATCTGTGCAGAGACATCCTGGAACACTTACACATTTCGAGTTGTTCCTTCGAGCTCCCGCTGGATTTTATCATCCCCAATGAGATGTAGGAACGTCGTCACCTCCTCGGTCGACCACGGTGTGCTTTTCTTTGACGTTGCCATTTTTGTAGCTCCTCAGTTTACAAAAATGCTGTGTATAAAAATGCTGCAAGCTTGCTTCTAGACATATATACGTATATATATGCGACGCTAGGGATGATCTCGCGTGCGATCTTGTGACGATTCTCTCTGACCAATCAGCAGTCGAGAGTGTTGACGTCACTAGTTCAGTTCTGGCCCTGGCCTGATAGAACCACGATTTTATGAGGCCGGAAAAAGAGGGAAAAAGTACCCGCTGGCCGGTGCTACGCTATATGGAAAGGCCACCAAAAACTGGCCTGGCCGCTTGAGGATGATTAAGGACGCTTAAACGGGGCTACCCGCTGCAGTGGAAATGCGCCATTAGTGCCGGCACTAAGTACAGCAAAGTATTTGGTGTGAAAGCGGCTATACAATCCAAACAGTTCAGTTGTTTACTTTGTTCAACGGTAAGCTGATTAGATAAACAAAGACTGGAAGTGCATCATACCTGATAGGGATAACCGTACCAGCAATGCCGAGTATCCCACATCCAAGGAGTCTACAAACAAACATGGATTAGTTCAGAAAACAATCCAACTGACTGATATCTTTGGGAATATTCCCATCCAATCAAAAATTATCAATGAGAAAACAAACAATCACATCTTATTTCTCCTCCGTGTTTATAAGTGCTTCCAAGCTTGATCTGATTGTGTGCTCACCTGCCACAGAAACCGGAACCCATAGGTAAATATGCACAAATAAAATGTAAACCTCCACCTACGAGTGAACAAGAAGGAATTATGATCCAGAAAATAGGGCTGGTTAAGGAGAAACAGCACATTAAAGATAATAAAATATAGTAAGCATTCCCATACCACTTACCTGGGTCTCTCTCCATCCTTCTGATTCTTATTTCAAATCTTAATCCTTACAATAAACAAGTCTTAAAGAAACTAGAACCACTAAAACTGAAGTAGTGATATGGGCTCATACACACTATACATAGACACACAGCACCAGAACACACAAGTAGTGTGTGCTCATGCATGCAGAGAGGTTAAAGTTGAACACAACAGGGATTAACCTACATGCTCTCACAGAACTTAGTGTGAGTGCTGGGTTTGTCTTGGTTCCTGCGGTTTCTAAACCAGCGCTGGACTTTTCGCACCTCCCAGTCCAGCTGCTTCGACAAGCCATCCAGATGCCGAGAGTCTGGAGACTGTGTAGAGAGAAAACAGGGATGAGAAGACAGCTTGAACAAAAGAAACAGTTCCCAGTCCAAGCATATTGCAGTTTCTTTTTATATCAGAGGCTCTCAAGATAACACTCTCAGTGGGAGTATAGAAGTCAAGAGAATAAAGAAATTATCAGGAGAACGCTGATCTAAAAAATCCTGTGAAAACTGCAACAAAGAAAGGGAGAAATTTAATAAAATACTATTACAATCGGGACAGAAATGTGCATAATATCATAAAATATTAATCACGCTATCGGTTCCCAGGGTGCAGTTCCCTCAGTGGATTGTAGTCCATTAAACACAATTATTTTAAAGAGAACTTTTCAAAATACAAAGAGCTTTACACAGGCTGCATTTTAATATAGATTTATCCGAAGAGGTCTGACTTGCTGTTCAATAAAAAAAGGACTCTAAAAGCAGCCTCAGCCTTAACATCTATGTTGTTAAGAAAGAAGCAGACCTTTGTGATGGATGTAAACACTTTCTCCAGCACCGCATTAGGATGAGCTCTTCGTCCAACACCAGGGTGGATGAGGAGGCTCCGGGCACAGGGGCTGGCAACACACCTGAGGCAGAGGAGAGAAGGG